TTGGAATCTCTTGCCTGCGAAGACTTGCGTTGTGCACAGAATGTACAGGTGCTCCCAAAATAATTCGGAGCGCCGGAGCGGTGGCCACTCGTCGGTAGAGCACACGCGCGGAAATGTACAGCTAAAGTCTGCGCATGCGTGGCGTCCTCAGCAAGCAAGATTAGTTCCCTATTTCATGTATATAGGCGTTGCTTTGAGTTAAAAGCATATCGTTTGTCCCTGTTACGCTGTGACAACGCATCCCAAGCAGCCGCCCATCCGTTCTTCCTTGCCTCGCACGATTATCGTGGGCGATCAACTGATTTAACTTCAGTTTGTGTGTTTCTGACTGCGCAATCTGCGAAAATAGCGTATAGCGAGCAGCAAGGAATCCTGATAAGGTCGACCAAATAAGGATTCAATGGAGGCTGGTTCGTACGGCATCGTTCTTTTGCTGCGCTAAAGATGTAACAGGGGACGACACGAGAACACAGAAGTGCGCACTTCTATGTCCTCGTGTCGTCCCCTATTGCATTTTTAGCGCAGCAAAAGAACGAAGATCGACCTCTTAGTGCTGCCATTTTTCCCATGCTACCAAAAGAAAATGTGGCGAGGGGGATATATTACCTATAAAAAGGGTAGCGGAGGCGAGGAGGAAACTGTCTCGTCATTGAACGCGGGCTGGTGGGGGGCCCTTTAAACAAATCAGATTGCTCGCGCGGCTACAAAGAGAGTTGGAAACACAGACTTTGCTTTGAACATTGATTAGGCAAACGGGCGCTGTCGAAATCTGGCAAGTAAACACGTAATGAACAGACCAAAGAGCACTGCTCGTGGCAATATGGAGGCCTATATATGCAGTTTAATACCATGCTTGCACCATGAACAACTATAAGCACGCTGATGACAACATCAATATCACGTGCATGCACCGGCCACGGTGAACCACAGCTTGCATACGGCGTGGAAGTGACGATATAAAGTATTTTTTTCTCTCCGAGGCGCTGCCACTCGCCAGCTATGGCAAACCACAGTTCGTCAGCACTGGCGTCTCCTAGTTTATGCGGGACATAGTTTGCATCAATTGTCCCCACACGTTCTCGATGATGTTAAAGACAGCGCCTTTTGGTGCTTAGAAGTGTGGCAGCTTGGGCTAGTTGGTATGGCATGACGATAGTTATAGCGCGAGAACAAAACGACGACACAGAGAAGAAGGACGTGCTCGTGTCCTTCTTGTCTCTATGTCGTCGTTTTGTTCTCGCGCCTTTTGGAGGCCACGGAAGTGTGAGAACAGCACGTTCCTCCAGGAAATGTCGAACAGCTCTGTCGGTGTGCACTGGGCTGAGGTCTTTCTGAAACCAGAAGCACCCGTTTTTAAATAGCCCGTCCAGAGCGTACGGATGTCGAGGATTTCGCAGTAAGCCCCAGCAGTGAAAGATCGTGACAGCCGCACTAGCGGGCCGAGGCCATCTTTGCCTACTGCTCCCCAGACGTTTACAGCACAGTGACCTATTCAGGCCACAGCAGGGGCCGGTGTGCAGTGGCCTTAATAATTCTGTAGGCCTGATATTTCTGTTCACGGCACTCATAGACCTGCGTGTGAAGCGGCATATCTCGCGTTGAGAAACACCTTGATTGGATAGGTCAACTATCCTGCTCCGCTCGTGGATTGGCACTCTCTTCGGCATGCGGCCTCGACAGGAAAAGGGCTGAATTTCACGACTTTTCAATGGTTTTTGTATCTTCACATCTTCTTATCAACCAGGCGCGCAAACTGCTCGGGAATACGTGAGATGAAAGTGCACCTTCTGCCACGCTACACAGAGTCACGCATGGCAAATCCATAGCAACGTATCATACAGGCGTATCGAAGAAACAGACTTGCCATAGCCAAAAATAAAAAAGACAAACAAGAGCTATATAGACCCTCTCAATGATTCTCAAAACGATTTCGACGACAAGAAAGTTACGCGTCGTTGTCATTCTTTTTCTAATTCCTTCATAAACTTAATTAGTTGTGACCATGGATTGACCATCACAGCGTTGAATTTATGGACTCGCTATTGTGGAGCCTTGAATTGATTGTAATTAGTGGAACTTGTAATATATTTTTTTTAATTTGGCGTGACCAGTATTAACACGAAGTCTGGAATTTCTGCTTGATTCTTTGTATTATCGTGTGCATGTCAAAAACATTTAACTGATAATTACGTTGACTTACCTAGAAAAACATATTAGCTAACTTTTTGTGATGACCGTGTTGTGGTCTTATTATCCACCCTAATTACTTAAAAATGGCCTTTGAACTTTTGAATTTCTCGAAGTTACTTTGTGCTTAATACACTTTTACGTGCTTTATATAACGGTTGAGGTGCAGTATGCCACTTTCTGAGTTTTGCTACCCCAGGTATTGTCGAGTTTTGCTACCCCAGGTATTGTCGAGAATGAGTAGTGGGATGATCACACTGTGCAACTAATGAGGCAAGTGAACTATTCACTTCCAAAAGCACTGATGCCCATTAACGCGCATACACTCGCACGTATGCTCCACGGCGTGCATACGCGTGCCTAGAGCGTTGAGACCGCATCCGCTTCCACAAAACGCTAAAAATCACCCAGCTCTATTCTTTTGGAGCAAACCAACACATATTCAGATAGTTTGGCGGGGTCAAATCCCGGCTGTGGCGGCTGCATTTCCGGTGGAGGCGGAAATGTTGTAGGCCCGTGTACTAAGATTTGGGTGCACGTTAAAGAACCCCAGGTGGTCAAAATTTCCGGAGCCCTCCACTACGGCGTCTCTCATAATCCTATGGTGGTTTTGGGACGTTAAACCCCACAAATCAATCAATCAATCAATCAGATAGTTTGGGGAATGAGGAGCGCTTGCTAGGGAAACTGCGCACGCGCAAGCACTGGCACTACTTTTCACCGCCGCGCTTCGCCGACGAGCGGCCACCGCTCTGGTGCTCCGAATTATTTTGAGAGCACCTGTACTTTGCAACATAGGGGAGCAACGACAAGCTTTTCCTTTATTTCTCTGGGGATTTAGGTGTTGCTAGCCAAGTTCTTGATTCGGGCGAGTCCAATCGCCTCTATAGAATCCGGCTACCGGCCACCGTTGTGGAAAGTCGAGTTAGCTGGGTCTGTTCCGCATACGATACACCTCCATGGTGTATTGTATGCGGAGCCGGAAGAGGTCCTCACTAGGCGATCCTTCTGGCAGTACGAGTGCTCGCTTGAAGATTTTTCTAATGAGGGCAATAATGAGGGCTTGTCCCAATTCCCTTTGATCCAGTTGTACATGGCCACCGTGTAGGTGAAGTGACGCAGCACTAATGCTTTGATGAGCTAAAGCAGGTCTTCCTCCTAGGGGACTTGACTCGGGTTCGTGACCCTTCGATCGAGGTCGTTGTCGGCTTTTGAAATGGTTTCGCGCAATGCAGTGCCATTGCATGCCGAAGCCACTCCTTTTACTTGCTGTCGTATTGCAACCAGAAACCGCGAACCTTTTTACAAGGCTTCCTCGCAATTCTTTATGGCGAGTGTACCAATCAAATTGCCAGTCTTCCTGAACATTTTGAAATTTCGTGTTTGTGACGATGGTATACTCGGATTCGGCACTGGCTGGAGTGAGCCGTCTGTCATGAAAGAATGAAGCAATAGTGTCAATAGTCGATGGTAGCGTGCGTTGTATTTTTGACAGGGAACCTTTTCCGGCCCAGAGAACGATGTCATTTACATACATTGTGAATTGAAGGTCTCGTACATATCTGATATTGCTTGTCAGTCCTTTGACAGCGAGGAAAAAAAGAGTGTCTGTGACAGAGTTGACCCTTGCTGCGCTCTTCATTGGAGGTACCACGTGCGTGTTGGTACTTTGTTTACAGCTTACATTTGCAGATTACCATTTCTTGTCGTCGACTATCTGATCCACCCTTTTCGTCACTGTTTCACTTGTCTGAAGCCTTTGTTGAATACGCATGCGTGGTAAGGCTGATTTGAATATAAATATGCCTTGACATATGAACGAAAAGGCAGTTCATAGTCAGCGCTCGTGTGTGTTTCTTCCTTTCTTTGTTTGTTTGTGGAGCACATTTGGTGCTTGCGGTGCTAATTTTAATTCAGAAATATGTACCAGCTATAGGTTCAAATGAAGTTTTATTGCAGCTAATGAGCCTCCATTCTCTGAACGTATCGGATTTTCTGGTAATTAGTATGCTAAGCTGGAGCGTGTAAGCACAATTCGCGGCAATGACGGACGAAGTTCAGTGGGGCCGAAGCGCCACAGCACTCGCCGAATAACCCTTCGACAAACCTAGGTGGCGAACATTAATCCGAAGACCGTAGTAGTCGTGTCTCTGTAAAGCGGCGCACGTGTCGCACACAAGCGACCGTGAGTCGGAGAAGCGGCGCACGTGCCGAATTTGGAAGCACAGGAGACAGCTAAACAGGAAGCTAAGGAGAACGACAAAAACTATTTTTATTTTAAAAAAAAACTGCGTTGTATTGAATGATAATGCCCCCCCCCCCCTGCCAAAAAAAACGAGGCTTGCACAAAGCCGACCAATGCTTTAAAAAGCGATAGGCAACTCTATTCGAAAGATTATTCTTGTTGCTTTTAGACTCTTTCTAGGCCTTAATCAGGTGACGCCAGGTTGTTTACGCATTTATTCTCAGCCGGAAAGATTCCAGTTAAGCCACAAACAGTCATGAGAGGATGTCAAAATTGTAGAGGTAGACGCTCGCGCTGAAACCAAACGTTCGCACCTGTTATTTATCTACGAGCACATCGTCGTTGGCGTAAGCCATTCATCGCTTCGAGGTCTTCTCGCAGCCGCAGTAGCCAGTGGCGGCGTCAAATCCAATTGTTGAGTTAACTGTTCCTTCATGTTGAGAGGACCGGAGGCGTGTAGTCTACTTTGCCGAATTCATGCGGCACGGAACCATTTATGACGAGTTTTTTATATAGGCCACACACATAAATTACAGGTATAAAAAAATTTCGCTGTTGGTACGATTACTTCTCGTTCGTGGTGCATAGCATCCATGTCACTGATCCTGCATGTATACGTTAGGGTTATGATCACGGGGTTTGCGAGATTAAAGAGCAGTCCATGCTGACGCGGGGCTGATACTAGTGAACACGAGGTTGCAGAGCTTCCACAGCACTCCATATACGCGAGTTGGCCCTCGGGACTTATAGTGGAGATTACAGGAATATCGAGATTCAAGACCTGCCCATGCGGGGGAGCCCGCACGACCCACGCGTGGAACTCCGTTAAAAAGCAATTCACCGAGCATATCTAGGGTGCGTGTGGCAAGTTCACATCCTACAGCCCCCCTCAATGTGCGTCACCACCTTCTGGGAGAGCTGGTACACCTCGTGGCGTAGAATGCTCGTCTTGCATTCCAGCACTTTTCTCTCCTTCTTGAGCACGTAAACTTTCTCTCGGAGCTCCGAGATGCGACTGAGCTTTCGATTGAGGCACTTCGACGACGCAATACGATTCCTCTCCCTCCTCTGTTCCAGTCTCATCCTTGATGCGTCACGTATGTAGGTGGGTGCCGTTTGTGTCTTGGACGATAAAGGACGAGTGGGACTGTCGCTTGACGTAGAGTCCGACGTGTCCGGGCCGGATGCGGTGTGCTGTGTCCTGTCTGTGTCACGCATGTCGATGGGTACCGTTTTCGGCTCGGACGATAAAGGATGAGATCGAGTGTCGTTCGAGGTGGAGTCGCACGAGTCGGACGTGTCCGGGCCGGACGCGGTGTGCTGTTGAAGTACAGGTGACTGCAGCTGGAGTTGATCGAGGGATTCGGCGAAGTCACTCGGAAATTGCTCCTTTTTCTTGGCCACGGTAAGCACAGACAGCCTGCTCACCGTCGTCTCCCGTCCGTTGAGAGTAATGATGAACCGCTCGAGCTCGGGCGTCGACAACGCCAGCATCTGCAGGTCCGGAGACGTGAGCAAGCTCGAGCAGTGGGCCTCTTTGTGGCCGGGTTGGGATGCCCCAGGGCTGTATAAATTCAGGGTCATGCTACGCTTGCGTAAGCCCAACTCGTCGCTACTCGACGACTGCTCGTGCTGCGTCGCTGTTTCGCGTGTGTCATCGCTGTTGTCGTCTAATCCTACGGACGACAGCGGTGACGTGCAGCCCGAACAACGAACAGTCTCTTGCTCCTCCTCTTTGGAGATGTCTATCACCAAGGGGTCGAGCGACTTACGATGAAATAAACTGTCATCTGAGGTCGAGCCGTTCAAGTCTGACATGTTCGAGCCGGACGTGGCGTGCTGCGGCGGCAGCTCGAGTTTAGCGAGTGGGCCGGTTAAGCCACACGCGCACTGCGTATCAGGCTTAGGGACGCTGATGAAGTTGTCTATCGTCAGTGAGCCCAGACGCAGCATTGCGCTGCGCGCTTTAAAGCCATGGCTTACAGCGTGGAAACAGCGCATGCGCACTGCGTGGCTAAGGCACCGGCTTGTCAGCAAGCCGTATCTTCCGACAGTGATGATTGCATGATTGTGATAGAAGGTGGTGTTTACAGATATATTTCTAATAAGCTATCACTCCTGCTGACGGTGGACGGTACGAATAAGTTTTCTGCACTTCCGCTGTGGCTGACAGGCTCATCGTCGCGCTTCCAGGTACGTCAGTTTTGCCCAGAATCGCTGTTGCCCACAAAAAAAAAAAAGGCCCCGTATCTGCATGTTTTACTGCAAATGTCTTCAAAAGGCGGTAGTATTGTGGGTGGAGAGAGTGAACAAAACGTTTATTTGATGTTGTGCGCGAGAAAATAAGTGAACTGTATTCTGGAAGCGCTGCATTAGAGAGTCTCGATCTGAGCCGCAAAGGCGAACGAGCGCATCGAGACACGTTAAGGCTAGAGTGGCCACTAGGGCGAAAAAAATAGCTGAGCTTCGCAGCTTCAGTCCAGCCGTAAAGTGGCCACACATCACTTACTGCTTCAAAGAAACACGCGTTCTAGTTATTTGCTACAGTACTTTTTTAATGCGTTATACGCCTACATGTCTTTGCATATGTCATAGTGACCTTAATCCGCCTTTATCGTCTGCGATTGTACGGTGCGATAGCGTCGGGCTGGGATCAGGCATGAACCGGACGCGAACGAGAGAAGTGCACATGACGTCGACGCGACGGAAACGTTGTCATGCTTCGTGTTCATGAGCATTTGCGGCAATGAAGAAGTACGGGCAGCAGCAGGGAGATGCCATAAGAGATGTGCGATGCCGGGCGTGCGTCGTGGTCTTCGCTTGTTTCGGCTGCCTCTCAGCTTGGCTGCTGGTAGGTACGAACGCCATCAATACTACGTTAAGTGCGTATAACATTTGTCATTTAAGCCTTAACCTAGCGTTTCTGGCATTGTGCTGTTCGGCAAAGAGATCTTTTTTGTGCTCTTCACTTTGCGCACTAGTTTCGTGGATTGCTCCATACGAAAGAAAACTGTCTGGAATGCTTCGCAGCACGTTTGCAAAAAATTCTTTTCTTGGCTTAATAAATCGAGTGGCCACTCGCACTGTTACGTTTTCTTTGTGCCGCTACCTGTATTCGAATTCACGGCATGAGTGACATTTTGTGACAAAATGCAGCTATGCTCAGTATCGTTATCTGAGCCATTCGCAAAATGCTTGAAGCTTGGAATAAGCACAATAAGAGAAGTGGTGAATCTAGAAAAATGTTTGCTAGCTAAAGCTAGGACGTAATCTTTGAGTAAACACTCCTGTTTCGTTAACGGCTTGCATGACACCTGAAATTGCTTTGTTTCTGCTGCGGCAACTGCTTGTGGCTATTTTTCGCGAAAAAGCGATCTAAAGGGTGCAGGAGAAAATTAGTGCGAAGGTGGGAAAGAAAACGTAGCCAACATTTTTCTTTTCGTGTTTCTGTTCATAACGCAGTGAAGTGCTGAGGCAACTACTGCCGCGTCACGTTGTGCACTGTATGTGTAGTTGCATGCGTTTATTGCAGCTTTATTGTGCTGCGGTTCCAGTTATAGTGTTGCCAATATGTTTATTTCTTGTGTGTAATTTATAGTTATGATATGGCAGCTGTATTTTCACATCCCGCAGTTCAATGAACCTCTTTGTGCCTGCGTTTATCAAACATTAAGTGGGCATGTGCTTACCAAGAATAGCACTTGAAAATAAGTTTTCGCTTCTCTAATGATTCTCATGTTTTAATTAAACAGTGTGAATCGTGTGCTTGACATCGTGTGCTTGCTGCTCTAGCGGTGCAGCTTACACGAAGCTCGTCCATGCATGCAAACGACGCATGAAAAAATTCGGCAGAACCCACGTACGTGGGAATCGAAGTTATGCGACGCATGCGGAGCAAAGGTGACCTAGTTGCATTTTTTATTGAGTGACACGTTATGAAATGACGTAAGTATATGTACAAATGTTGCACCTACAGACATATGCTGAAGAGTTGCAGATGTTAATTTAACCAGTTGTTGGCACATGCGCTATGATTTCATCTGGAAGCTGATATGAAGCGTTGATGCTCGCGTAGATGCTGGCCCTGGACACTGCTACGTAAATCAATTTCAGCGCACGGCAACTAACCACAATTGGCGTTAACCCGATGTGAAGGCTGTATCAAAGGAGTGCATATGTAATTTTTGTCAAATTGGGTAAGCATCACTGCAACCACTATTGACGTTTCACGAAGATTGGCGTTTATTTGAAAAGTAGTTCCGAGACCTGGCGTAGCTCTGCGGTAGAATGCTTGACTGCCACGCAGAATGCTTGGCTTCTATTTCTGCTGGGACCCTGAAATTTATTATTTGCATTCGTCGGGGGGTCAACGCTGCCTATTTCCGGTTTTTCTTAACACTGACATTTATTCCATGTCATCGTTGCGTCGATGCTACCGATGTGGGGTATTTCCTGAAGCTTACGCGTTAAAATTGCCCCAGTGTGTTCTCGTCGTTCCTAGGTAGATACTAAGTGTCAATCACCTGTGGCGCATACCCGCATGCCAGCGGCACATACCCGCCCATGTGTATGTGCCGCTGTCTGATGGGAACTGTTTGACGACGTACGCGACTGGATTGTGAAATAATTAATGTCTTGACCAGCGCGCCAAGTTCGTCAAGCCATCTTACCCTCACAAGCTAATTTTGGTTCACAAGTTTAAGGGGGTGACCACGAGAGCACCGAAACGTAAGCGGCTAGGTAGATAGACACACTCAAAGTTGCCGAAATTCACTAAAAAATGCTTCGCATTTAAAATTTAAGTGTGGCCTCAGAAATAAGGACGCACGTGAAAGTGGTCTCGGATTTTGTGAAATAATCCTAGTCATTACAAAATTGCTTTCGAGGCAGTCTTTTCTGCGGTGAACCATCTCAGAGGCTGGAAAGTTTCACCACACTAGTTTGGTGCGCTGCGAACCCAAATCAGCCATAGGGGCCTATGGAAGTGTCCTCTCTTGACTGTTAGGCACGAGCGCTATCTGGCAGTTATTTTCGAAAACGAAGTAAGGCGTGCGTGCACACAGAGAAAGATGCGCGCCTGTCTCGGAGGCGATAAGGTGTAGAACGCGAAGCGACGGGCAGGTGCCACCACCATGTCGTCTTGGCAAAGCGTTGGAAACACTTGCCTTTTGGAGCATCGCGTTGCACTGTCAGCGCAGCGTGATAAAGGCAACGGTCCTTAGAATCACCTATGTGTGCTTCTCTAGTATAAAGACACACATACAAAATATAGACTTGTTGTTATGGTGCCTCAGATATGCACAAGAATTGCTTTTTAATTGACAATCGCACAAGTATGAACGCTGAAAATTAAGCAATATTGATGGGCGCTGTGGATGGGGGTGGCCATTTGGCAATCGATTGGTGCCGTTTGAGACATCGTTACGACGGACAGAAAAATATACAAATGGAAAGACAAACAGGTCCAAATTTTATTTATTTGTTCATTTTTATTTATTTGAATACCCTAAAGGCCCAATTGGGCATTACATAGGGGGGTATTTAAGTGAATACATAGATTTCAAGCAATATGAACAGAAAACAGAATACCAAAAAGTAAACAATAAAGGAAACAGCGAGTAAATTGAATCACAGCATCAAGTCAAATACGTTCACCAAAATTATTCAAATACATGTTAATTAGTACAATAATAATGAGAACACCTATAAAAATTACATGAAAGAACGCTGAATAAGTGTCGGGAGCAAAAACAGCAGACGAAACGAGGGCAATCAGACACAGGTCAGCCATGTTTTTCACTATGCAAATAGCCCTGAAGCATGGAGTTAAATATGGAAGGATCTGTTGTTTCTGCGATGTTAGGTGGAAGAGAATTCCACTCGATTATGCACAATGATAATGGCGAATTAAGAAACTTCTTGGTCCTAGCGAAAATGGGGGCCTTGTGCGCATGATCGAGGCGGGTTGAAGTATGAGGGGCTGGAAAGATACGAGACTGGGTGAAGGATGAGTTGCTGTGATAAAGTGAGTGAAAGAACGATAGTCGAGTATGTCGCCTGCGAATGACAAGTGTGGTAAGGCTAAGATCCGATCTTAGTGAAGAAACACTTATGTAACGTGAGTCGTCCCCAGGATTCCGGCCCACGAGCAGGAGGCGCGCTTTCCCGCATGGTGGGGTCGGTGCCCCACGTCACTCTATGGGACCGGAAAGCAAAACGATAATTCCTCCCCCTTTTTTATTTTCTCATTGTTTTCCCGGATTCAAGTAGCAACTGTATGTACTTTTTTGGTCCGGAGTTATAGTGTCGTGGTTGTAATAGTGCGAGTTACCCAGCTTATTAAAAGATAATTCAGCGCCTATGGGCACTCTCGGAAATATCGGCCGTTTTACCGCATTTGAATCGCTACCGTGGAGCCGTGCTTGAAAATATCCAATTGCTTTCTGGGATTTAGGTACTGGCATATATCTAGTTCATGATGGTATAGAGCGTGTTTGAATCGCGTGGTAAAAAAAACAAGTTCCCTGGCCAGCTTTGTTCGGGGTGTGAGAGCTGGATGGATGGATGCTATGAGCGTCCCCTTTATAACGGGGTGGTGACAAGTATGCCACCAGGCTCGACAAAAAAAAAAAAATCTTTTTCCCCCTTTTTTTTTATGTTGGCCTAATGCCTCTACTTCGATAAATTCTATCTTAATGGAAAAAAGGTAAATTTTCAGCTTAAGTTCTCTGCCATTTACGGCACACTGTCCATATTTTATTTTTCCAATATTTATTTTTGTCCTTTCTCTCTAATTTTCTGCCACCAATACTCTAACCGTCTCTTACTTATTTCAATCGCGGGTGTGTTCAGCTTTCCATTGTTGTCCCTAAAACCCAAGGCTTCCTGTAGGTTCGTGCCCAAACGTACACCTGGGTGGATATCT